ATCCATACAATATTACAGGTGTTGATCATTCTGAGCTTGTTATGTTCTGCGAGTCTTTATTTTAGCCCTCTGGCGGTGGATCCTAAAAACCTTTGCTTGCAGCCGAGGAAATATGCAAGTTATGAAGTTTGTCTTAAAAATAACAGTATTTTTGAGTTGCCATTTTGATTTAACGATATTTATTTATTTGCCGTACAAATATCTAAAACGTTTGTTTATTAGCTTCTTGAAATGTAACTGTAAGCTCTAGATTTTCATGTTATTCAATCAAATCACAATAATATTTTAGTTTGACTTATGTAATTAGAAAAAAAAACGTTTGTTCTCAAGGTAAGAATAAAAAGCTTTTTATTTCAGCCAGTGTTTCGCATTTCGGCTTCATCCGGGCTAGTAATTTTTTCTTCTAAATTTATTACCAAAATGTCTAAATTCCTCTAGTGTGTATTACAGATTCTCGAAAACAATAAAATCCTTCCATCAGTCGACCGAATCCACCGTATAGTTATTGTACTATTAGCCCTGATGAAACTGCAATGGCGAAACGTTTGCTGAAATAAAAAGTTTCATTTATTATTATCTGGAGAGTAAAGGCTATTTTTTCTAATTCTGTTGCCAAAATGTCTAAATCCATCTAGTATGCACTACAAACTCTGATTTATATATTGGGGCATAATTCTATTGTTTCGTTTCTATGGGGATTCTCTTACTCTACTATAATCTTTAATTTTGAAGTCAATATGTGTTCAGTCTAATTTCCTGGTTATCACAAAATTTATACTGAGAGCCTTAATCTAAGAATTCTGTAACTGAAGAATAAGCTTTAAACTATTTAGAGCAATAGTTATTAAGTTGTCTTTCAAAATCTGTAGTACACGCTGGAAGGATTTACACACTTTTATTAAAACGTTAGAGAAAACCGACCCTTTATACTCCAGATAATTAATCATCGTTTTATTTCGATGTTGTAGTTGTATTTCTGTAGACCTCCAGGAGTCGGACTTCCGCAATCTTTGTGTTTAGTGAGCACTGATTATAAAAGCAGCAAATTTACTTGGATCTGTTGACTCTTTTTATTCTGCTTTAAATGTCTGGTTCAAATAAAAAGTTATTTTATAATTATCTGGAGTTAGAGGTAATTTTTTCTGTAACATTTTAATAAAATAGTTATTTAGCGATATTAATGTGTTCAAATTAAGTGCGCTGTAATTTAAGAAAGTTTTTCTTATAATAAAGTTTAATAGAAATATCTCTGAGATACTTTTGGGGAAATCTTAGAGCCTAGGTCCTTAGAAGAATCCACAATAAAATAACTAAATTTGTTAATGATACTTGTTTTTGTATAGAGCAAGTTATTAGATAAAACCCATTTTTTTATATACGTTTTTAGGTCAGTTTATAAATAGACTCTAAGTTTTTTTTTATATGTTGTTGATATTTACTTTTTATAAGTAGTTAATTTTGATATAAGCTTTCTAGTCGTATACCAATTTTCATTGTTCTAACCAAATACAGACAATGTCTGTCTCACCAGGTCAGTCTTTATCTTAAAATCGACGCTTCACAATAGTCAGTAACATACTTTTAATATAATACATCGTTATAAATTCGGTATAGAATTAGGTTTAATACTGAATGTTAACTGATTTTAAACGTAATTATCCTTATTAGAAAACAGTACAAGCACAATCCGCAAGGTCTTACGGTTGGTTGGTTTCAGAATTTTCGCAAAAATCTACACAAAAGGCTATTTCTACATAGCTGTCCCCAGTTTCCATTAATAAACTAAAGGGAAACCAACTAGTCAACAGCATCCAGCGTCAAATCTAGGGCTACCTTTGACTGATCGAATAGTGGGCTTTGACTGTCACTCTTATAGCGTACCCATGGCCCCAAAGTGCATAGCGCGTTTTTGCAGTACCTGACCGCGAACTATGAACCCTTGAAATCACGACTCAAGCAAACTAACCAATAGACCACGTCAGGACCCTATGATTCGAATAATATTCTTAACTTTAAGACGTGCTATAAGCTCATAATAAAAATATAAAAGTTTATTTATAATTTATTTATTTACCTTCAAACTATGATTATCCGTATATATGGAACAAAATTTTCTTTCGAATTAATTCCCCTTTGTTCAAGAACAAGTGTGATTTATATGTTAACGATAAACAGTGAATGGTTATCTCTGCAAGTTTAGCTTTGTACTTGTTTCATTTACGTAAGTAATATGACTCTTCTGATGAGCTTTTACCCACGATTAACCCTGAGAATCACTTGAACGGACTATGGAGATGTACATACTGTTCAGAAAACAATGGTTGTAACTCTACACAATCAACTATCGATTACTAAAGTTATACACTAAAGTAACTAGAAACGATAATCTGGATTTTTGAAAGTAGCTTAAAATTTAACAAGTGTGTTTAGAAAGGTGTAAATTTGTTTTGAAAGATTAAACCCCAAAAAGTATCATAAGCAATTCTATAATTACACCTAGATTTTAAAAACTGACAATATTCCTACAAACAGACTTGTTCAGTGATAACACGGGAAGAACTTCGGAATTTTCGCACAAAGCTACACAAAGGGCTATCTGAACATATCCATCTATAATCTAAAACTGATAGATGTCTGAGAAAGAAGCTGGTCAACATTACCCACCTCCAACTCTTCGGGCTACTCTTGTCTGACCAAATAGTGCGAATTTATTGTCACTGTTACAGCGCATAAAATACGAAATATGAACGTAACTCTGTATCTTCCGTTTAAATAATGGACCCATAGTTAAGATTGAGAACATATGGCTGTATCTTCCGTTTAAATAATGGACCCATAGTTAAGATTGAGAACATATGGCTGTATCTTACGTTTAAATAATGGACCCATAGTTAAGATTGAGAACATACGGCTGTATCTTTCGTTTAAATAATAGACCCATAGTTAAGATTGAGAACATATGGCTGTATCTTACGTTTAAATAATGGACCCATAGTTAAGATTGAGAACATACGGCTGTATCTTACGTTTAAAGAATGGACCCATAGTTAAGATTTTTTTGTCATATCGCTATTTTAATTTTGTTTGTCTAACAAAATTAGCTATCATGTTCTAACTACCGCGGGAAATCGAGCCTCGGATTTGAACGTTATGAGTCCTGAATCCTACGCTGATCCTTTGGAGAACGTTCCTTTCACAAATCATATCAACAAATAATTTAATGATTTCATTAATTTGTATAATTTGAATGTTAACTTGTTAATTGTCCCTAAGATCACCAATAACATCGTAATTTGAAAGCTTCTGTATCACGTTCAGCGGTAAACTTGAGGACGCAACTCTAAAATTTGGGGTTCGATTTCCCGTAGTAAGCACGGTCCATTGTGAAGCTTTGCGCTAAAACCAGAACATACTTGTACTTTAGACAGTGTTCGTCGTATTTGACATAGCGATTAATGCAATTCGTATGAATTATGATACACATTGAATAAATATGTGAATTTGTTTATCTAATAGAAAAAAAAATCATTTGTATTTATTTTACAAGTAGTTCCATTTTTTATTTCGTTGTTGTAGTTTCAGATTATATGATAATACATTTAGAACTATCATTTAAAATAGCTCAACTTCAGTTATATGATATACTTTGCTTAATATTACTTCAGAATTACGTTTTTTTTAGTTTTCAAAATAATAATATTAATACCATTTTAAGGCTTTTCATTCTTTTCTGCTGACATTATACGTTTTTATTTCTTACCGAAAGGATAAACATAATAAGAGGAAAAAGAACAAGTGTTAAAGTGTTTCCATCCGTTCAAAGTGTCTCTTGCATAAGATGACAATAAACCTGTCAAAAACTGTTGTAAAAGAAAAGCAGAAGCACAGATACGTATTATATGGAACTGCAAACCATTAATCAAAATAGTTTTTGATATTCAATACGATTCAAATAAAAAAATGACTACAGTTGATTCTTAGGCCTAGATTTTCAATCAAAACAAATAAGTGTATGTTATTCTAACACCATTTAAACTCTACTAACTGTTTTCGACATTGAGGGGGTAAGAACTATATCACGTAAAGACCTATTATAATGCATGGCCAGGTGGTTAGGGCGCTCGACTTGCAATCTACGGGTCGCGGGTTCGAATCCCCGTCACACCAAACATGCTCGCCCGTTCAGGCGTGGGGGCGTTACAATGTTACGGTCAATCCAACTATTCGTTGGTAAAAGAGTAGCCCAAGAGTTGGCGGTGGGTGGTGATGACTAGCTGCCTTCCCTCTTGTCTTACACTGCTAAATTAGGGACGGCTAGCGCAGATAGCCCTCGTGTAGCTTTGCGCGAAATTCAAAACAAACAAAACCTATTTTAATCAGGAACAATAAATTTAAAATAACGGCACGTGTGACATTTCTTTGATTAATTTCGGAATTGCAAAACAGTTTTCGTTACTTCTGTATTTCAGTAGTCCAGTTGAACGCAATTATATATTCAAATTCTAAAAAAAAAAATCAGACTTAATATAACATAATTATACTTGTCTTTTCGTATAAAATATCAGAGCAAATGTATTTGATATTTCTTCACTTTTTTATGGTAAATAGAAAAATCTTATAGTTTTGCATAGCTGTCTGTTCCTCAGATACGTTTGTTAAAAATATAATCGAATCAATCTTTCTATAAATATAAAATTTCAATAACAACGCTAAAATGGTTTTAATCGTAGACCACAGTTGTTCATACCTTCAATACAATTCAAAAACTTAAATAACTAGATCTTTATATTTCATTAGAACAATTAGATTCGAAGACTAAAGGTGTCAAATATTGCATCTTCGTTCTATTTAGATTATTAAAAATTTACAAAGAGAGTCGATAGAACTAGGAGAAACGAAAACATTTTCAAAATATACCAAAAAAATAGTCACCAAACTCAGTACTAGTCCTTTAAAACAAATAACATGATCACGAAATTAAATTAGAACATTTCTTTCAGTAATTCCTGAAGTCACGCCATTTTTAGAAGATGTTCGGCTTCACCGCGGTCAGCGTTACCAACTCACGTGCTCGGCAAGCCAAGGATCGCCACCTTTAACATTCCAGTGGCTCAAAGACAGAGTTGCTCTCAGAGACACAAGTCAGCTAACCATCCGGAGACTAGACGTCTTCTCGTCTATGTTGGTCATCGAAGCAGTTCGCGAGGAGTATGCTGGGAACTATACCTGTGTGGTGTCCAACAGTGCTGGAGAGGACACTTATACCACCCAGCTTCATGTTCTAGGTTTGTTATTGGGATTTATGTCTCCTATCAATTTTTATCAAATTTATATTGATGCTGTCTTAGTACTTCCAGAACATCTATTTCAATCTCAATAAGTTTATATGTTGTATCTGATTTGTTGTTTACGAGATGAGGGTTTCGAGTTTCAGTTACATGAAGTCAATATTATGCTCTGAATAGGAGTTTAATTAAGTATAATCTGTGTTTCAGTCTTTCGTAAACTGAAATGTTGTTTCTACAAGGATTTTTGTACGAAATGAACAATTGCTTTTTAATAAGGTTCAAACTGGTAAAGTAACAGATATAAACTTTACGATTTAATCAAATACGACAAATAATAAGTTGCCAAATACTAAAGTAACAGATATAAACTTTACGATTTAATCAAATACGACAAATAATAAGTTGCCAAATACTAAAGTAACAGATATAAACTTTACGATTTAATCAAATACGACAAATAATAAGTTGCCAAATACTAAAGTAACAGATATAAACTTTACGATTTAATCAAATACGACAAATAATAAGTTGCCAAATACTAAAGTAACGGGTATAAACTTTACGGAAATCGTATTAAACATGAAATAACAAGCTGATATTTGATTAGATCGTGAAGTTGATATCGTTACTTTATTCTCTAGCAACTTGATGTCGTGCTTAATAAGATTTCCGTAGACTTTGTAGCTATTATTTTAGTCTTTAGCAGCTTACATTTCATGTTTATTAAAGGTTTCATAAGTTCAGAACCTTAATCTCTATAGTAGATATGTTATTTATGATACGTGTTTCAGAAGTTGACAGATAATAGAAAGGTTCTATTACTTAGGCTGCGACTTTTTTCTAATGTAGTTTTCGTAAAGTTTAGATTGAATTTCAATTTCATGTAAATTTGGCGTACCAATGTCCCAAACTCAATTTTTAATAAAATCAAAGATTCACCTATAAAGATCTAAGTTCGGTACATTAGTTCTAATGTTGCACGTTTTATTACGTTAATGACATCGGGGCGTTCTGTGAAGATTACTATAAATACTTATATGCAAATTTTACTCGTATAAACATGAATCGTTGGTACTTATAACTGTTTGTATCTTAGCAAAAGTTTAAAGAACTTTTTACTTTGTTATTACTTACTCTTTATGAATTTGTCTTTAATTCCAAAAAACATTGATTGCTTGTGAACCAAAGGTCTTTTCATTTGTACATGAAATTATATAACGAATAAAAAACAGCATAGTTCAACGTGTTATGAACGGGACTTGCAAATAAATACATCGGAAGAAGCCAGGAATGTTGTCGCAACGATCCTCTGTAATTGGTCATTCAGTATATTCTGTTAATAATGTTTTGCTACAGTCGTCACACTGAAGTGAGTCACATATTTAGATAGTTTTTGAACCATTACTAGAACTCTAAGAAAACATATCAACTCTCCTCTCATATGGAGATCTATGGAAGGAATGAAAGTCAATAAATCATGCAGGATGTCGCAAATCTGCTACAAGTGTCCTTAAGAGAAAGTAACAACGCTTCAAAACCAGTGGTACATTTGGTCAAAGATACCATCATTCAGAACATAAGCAGATGGTCGCTATCTGTCGATTCTAGATGAACGCAATCGTATGGTTATTCTACTTTAAAACTGATTAATTTTCTCAGCCAAAACTGGATGCCTTGCCATCATAAAGACGGTCACATGTAGATTAGACGAAACCGGCCTATACTCTAGCATCCCGAAACTGGATGCCTTGTCATCATAAAGACGGTCACATGTAGATTAGACGAAACCGGCCTATACTCTAGCATCCCGAAACTGGATGCCTTGTCATCATAAAGACGGTCACATGTAGATTAGACGAAACCGGCCTATACTCTAGCATCCGAACTGGATGACCTTGTCATCAATAAAGACGGTACACATGTAGATTAGACGAACCGGTCCTATACTCTAGACATCTAGAAGTATCGACGTAATTT